AGATATGGTCGAAGGATGGTCCACGCTAACTCTGTAAGTACCGATTCACCCTGCTCTTAAAGACACCCATATAACTGGATGGGAACACTGTTGCCGGCAATTTATTCTTTTGACATAACTTCACTATTTACTTATTAGTTTGTTTAAAGAAAAGTTCACATAGGTGTGCTTTGATATATTACTTAACCTGTAAGATCGTGATCAAGCGCTTGCTTAACGAATATAAAAGAACAAGAACAAAATATATTTACCGAAATAGAAGAAAAACGCATGCGCCGAATAGCAAGTATTTGACTACTTTTTATTCTAAAAACTTTTCTTTTTTTTTAATATTCACTACGATTCACTTTAAGGGTGCATCAGATTTAAGATTTGAAACTGTGAAATAAAGTAGTTAATACATGTAGATACTTCGAAGGAAGAAGATTATTCTAGAATAGCTACGATAACCTTTTTTTATAAACGAATGACGGGAATATTAGATGTTTACTTGTTTTATTTCATACATGTGATTGTTACTAACTAAAGATAAGAAAGAAAATATTAACTAATCATTAACACCTGGCTTGATAAATCTAATTTTTAATTGTTAATTTGAAATACTGTGATAGGCACCTGTGAAGATCACAATGATAAACATTCTTTTACTGATATCTAAGATTTCGGTTTAGTTTAAATACAGCTGTTGCAAGAATATTTTCATTCTGAGACAGAAACAAGGTAAGTCAATAACTATCATTCTAAAGAAACTGTTGTTAAATTTCATAAAAATATTTTTTTTTTCAAATTTTCATACATTCATAATATTTTTCAGAAAAATCATTCAATATGAAAATCATTGGTTTCGCCCTCGTTGCCCTGTTGGCTACTGCCAACTCCTTGCCTCAGCAAGTTCAAACCGCGGGTAAGAATATCTGTCCATAAATGAACACTGAACAGTTGAAATAGTTCGGCTCATAGCCGGTAAAAAGTAGTCCAAATGCGTGTGAATCAATTTATATAAAATAATGTATTTGTATTTTTTTACAATAATATTATCTTTATAGACTTAAAAGACTCGAGGTTCGTCGACCAGATTGTCGCTGGTTTTATTGAATCTATAATTGAGCTGATCAAGGAACGCGGACTTGACCCTTACTTCGTTGAGGTTGCTGAAGGAGAATACTCTCTTGGCAGGTAAATGTTTACTATCTTACTAGCTTTCACCCGCGACTCCAACAGCGTGTTTTTAATAAAACAAGAGTAAGTAGCCTCTATGTTTTTCTAAACTATCCTCTATATGCTAAATTTCATCGCGATCTGTTCACCAGTTTAGGCTACAAACTCTAACAGTCGTGTATCCGTCCAAACATTTACATTTATAATATTAGTGAGATTTAGAAATATCTCAACATATGCTTTTATTCGTCTAAACCAATATTGTTTTTTAGTAAAACAAATCCATTTAACAATCCATTAACTATTTTAATTTTGTTGTGGCAGTTTCTTCCTCGCCAGCGGTCGCGTCGACAACTTCTTGTTCTCAGGCCTCAGCAACATCGTCGTCAACTCAGTCAACTTCTCGGGCTCTGAACTGGACATCGACCTCACTCTGCCTAGAATTGCTGCCAGTGTTGGTAATGCACTTCTTCAATTTAAATTTATTTAATTCTTAAAACTTTTTTATTAACAATCTTCGACATGATAAAGTCTTTTAAAAGTAGTAGAGCCCGCTTTTACATCTTCGCACGCATGGGTCGGCTCGGCCGGTGTAATACCACGACCACACAGAAGAGAGACGTAAAATGAATGCAATTCCGCATTTCGCCATTTTGGCGGATTCAGGTGGCCGCTTGCTCATTTGCCACCTTATGATGTAAAAAAAATAATTCAATTGAGAAATTCAGTCATCAACTGTTAATTCTTATTTCAGGCAATGTCGTTGGTGACGTGACTATTGGAAGCAGAAACATTCAAGGTGAATTTAGTGGACGGTATGTGTTTTTGGCTAAAAACTTTCTTGTTTGAAATTACATGTCAAATCTTATAAACCACGTATTAATTCTTTTTTTTCCTGTTTTTACAGTGTAGCAATTGTTGACCTTCGCCTGGTTGCTCGTATCAGCCTTGGACTCTCTACATACCTTCTTGATGATCTGAGCCTGTCATGTCAACTTGGAGGCATTGAAGTCAGTTCCGTTATTTTAAATTCTCGCTAACGTTTATGTATTTTAACTTCGATAGACAAATTATTATATATCCTTAACGAACGAACTAGCATTTTAACTGGTATTTATTGTGTTTATATTGCAGGCTGACTTTAGCTCCTTCATTCTCCAAGACCGTGATGTCACTGACAGTGTTAACAACTTCGTCGGAAATACTTTGCCTACTCTTCTCATCCAATATGAGGTAAAGCCTCGATTTCTTTAATTTTATTGATTTTTTGAACTACATTGTTCTAACCTTTCTTATTGCTTATAGGAACAAATCAACCGTTTCTTCGAGAGATTAATCATCCGTATCGCCGAGCGTTTCTTCTAAGACATCAACATTATTTATTGTTATATTGAATAATGTATCGATTGTTATATTACCGACATCTTGGACCACTTTCTAATTTAAATAAACTTCTAAAACAATATTCTTGATTTTTTCTTAATACTTATACCGCGAAATGATGCAAATTTCCTTTCAATCATAAACAACTAAAAAAAATGTTGCAATACGACACATTTGTGTGAATTTTTTATACAAAATTGCTAATAGAGTATTACCAAAGCTGATAGAAATGTGAAATTCTTCTCATTTAACAAACAAACAAAGTTACATAGTCTTTTTTAATACAAAGTTATATAACTGAATTATTATTTTTTAAGGATAAAGAGAATATTACGAATTTTGCGAATGTTAATATTTGGAATAATTTTTGATGAATGTCCAAACATTAACAAAATCGACATTTTATTCGAAACCTTGAAACCAAAAGAAATAATCGTTTCTATATAGTGCGTCGGTCGTCGTCGGGCTGTCATGGTGCGAGATACAACGCAGAGCCCAAGACAGAGCGAGCTGGCGGCGTACTGTGGACGCCCTCTGCCCCACTTTGGGGACATAGGAATAGAAGAGAGATATAGTGCGTCGGTAGCTTAGGGATTAAGCACTTGACTTGCAGTCTATAAATTATGGGTTCCAACCCGTCATATAATTTGTTGCTATTGCTCAATTTTCGATTTTCATTTTATTTATCCGTAGTTCTTACGGAGAAGGAAAACATCGTTATACAACCTGTTATGTCTGCAGAGAAAATCAGTCATATCAACCGACCAAACTGAGTCAGTATGGTCGACTATTTCCTAGTCATCATGGATGTTAGAAATGGCTACGTGCTCCTCAGTACTATGTATATATGAACTGAAGTAAAAGAAGTTGTAAATATGGTCCTATTAAGTAATCTGGCAAGGAAAACAAGGTGACTTCCCTATCATATGAAATAAACGAAAGAAATAATAGAGTATATAGGTATAATACATTTAATGTTTCAAGAGAAAGAATTTTACATTTTTAGGTCATTTGAAGTTTGCCGGAATAGTAGTCAGAAGGATACAAAGTCATACATAGTAATTTTTAAATTCAATTTAACATTCAATAGATTTACATTTTAACGCCGAGAATTGTTGACAAATCCAAATCAGCTAATATTTGATTACCAATCTCCAATACATTGACACTGAGGAACTCCGTGATTTCATCCTGCAAACAAAGTTAATATTAGAAATAGAAATGAATGCTTATAGAATATTATAAAAAAAAAACTTCAAACGTCAAGTACTGGCATACATCTTTGACTAAACTGTCGCACAAGTGTTGCCAATTGTCAATTGTCTTTGGTAGCCAATTGAACTGTTTAGTTGCACAACTAAAAATGGAGTAGTGTGCGTACTTTCGTATAAGATTCTAGTAATAAAAGCGAGACAACAGTTGTGCGATAGTTTAGTCCCAGGTGTGCACACCCTTTCAGATTCCTTGTATCATTTTCAACTTTAACCCGAATGTTTTTATCAACTATCACAATATAGTTGCTCAAGTAATCCAGTTTTTAAACCTAAATTGCGTTTATTCAATTTACCTCTGTCAATACCACTGTCTTACTGGATAAGCGAACCAAGGAAGAAGTGTACTATTTAAAACGATTGGACAACATCTTAAAGAAACACCAAAATTTCACTCATCTACTGTTCTAACCATACAATTTCAAGACATGCCTTCTACAATTATTTTCGAAATTTCATAATGCAATTGCAGGATGGACTGCACAATCCAATTCACTAATAACCAATTGTATGTTGCATAGACACCATTTACGTCATATTTGGTATACTTCTGCATACCTAAGAATACGTAAAACCTCTAAAAGAAACATGTAATATGGTAAAAACCCACCTCCATAACAACAAGAATTTCCTCAACGAAATTTTTCAAAAATACACTGATGAAGTCGCTAAGTACAGGATCGTTGAATAGACCTGTTATTTTTGGCTGAAATTAAAAAAATAAAGTATTATTTCTAGGAGATGGCAACATTTCGAATTGTATCACTGTATGCAGTAAGACGGTACATTCCTGGGTACTACAAGACGGGCCTAGAGCCTAAACCAAATTATTTAAGAAAGGACATTAATAACTGTAACAAGCGTAATTTACTTAAACACACAGAGCCACTGCGCCCGCCAGGATGGCGCGCTATTCTAATACATCTAAATGACATTGACAGCTGTCAGATAGTGATGGGACGTATAATAATCTAGTGTTGCGCCAATCCTCCAGCGCCGTGCTTATTTTCTTCTTAACAATAATAAGGAAATTCGTCTTAAACAATTAGAAAACAGAGCAATACTTACATCAAATGACCCTACAGAAACACTTAGTCTGCATTCCTGTAAACTAATAAATATCCCTCCTGATAGTCTTATAGACAGGACAATATTAGCATGAATACGGGGCTCGACAACTCTCAATCTAAAACACCGAAAGATTTGCAAATAAATGCTATTTTTAAAGGAGGCCTTTCCACTTCCAGTCATAAAGCGGTCAGTACCAAGCGAGTGTTTAATTTCCAATAGTCATTTTATATATGAAATAATTCAAATCAATGTCCCAAAGTAATAATGTTGCTCCTTACAAACTTTGATATCTCTTCAGGATACGAATTTCTTGAATTATTTCTTAATATTAGGACTGCTATACGAAAATCTAGTAGTAAAATTTCATGTCTCTAAGCCAAATATATTATAAACATACATTTTATCTTACTAATATAATAAAAGCGAAAGTCTAGATAGATGTTTGTACGAAGATATATCCAGAAGGTTCAACGGATCTTGATAAAATTTTGATCATATGTCGAAAATGGTCTAAGAGAATACATACTTGTTAAGATTTTTATTTTTAATACCAAGCGTATGAACTCACGGGCAAAAATTAGTAGCTAGCTCGCTAAATATGGTGGGGGACTGAATGTGGAGAGAGAGGATCCTCTTTACGTGCCTCTTTTCCTCCGTCAGTAAGGGGAGGCAACGCATCTTAATTGTTTTCGTCTATGAGCAGCGGTCACTTCCCTTTTCAGCGAATTCAGGTGGCCGCTTAAATTTACATAATAAAAAAATTATATAAGCTCGTGGAATACAGAAGATGTACTTACGACATTTCTCCTCTGCCAAATATACTTCCGCCGAAAATCGTCAAGTCTAGATCATAGGCACCTAAAAGTATTGTTGCCGTATATTAGAATTTTTTTATTTTTTCTACTAGTAAATCATTTAAATAAACTATACTAATCTAGGTCTACACTCTATACAAATGTTATTAAGAGGAAAGATTTGTATTTTTGTATTTATTTGATTCACGCAAAAACTATAGGACCGATTTTAAAAATTCTTTTACCATTAGAAAGGTAATTTATCTGTAAGTAACATAGGCTATAACTTTCATTATAAATTTTGCTGGGACGAAGTCGCGAGTAACAGCTAGTGTACTAATTACATACTCACCCGCGTTAACATCAAGTATTGGGATAGAGCCGTCTAATATGAGTCTGTACCGCTGCTGTAGTAAAGAAGCCATCGTCAAACTGAATTCGTTGATTACAAATGTGCTCAAATTATTCACTGTCAAATCATTAATTGATATATGTCTGGAAAAAAATATTTATAATTTTAAATAGCTGTCTATACTATCTATACTTCTATGTTTACATAGTAAAGCGTAAACACACAGTATTTCGTGGCGTAGGATGTCAACATCACAGCAAATTTTTGAATTATTATTTCTTTAATAAAAAGCCCTACACTTACAACACGCTTTAGACTATACATTTTCACGCTATTAAACTTAGGAGGTAAATAAATTGGAAGAAAACATTCATGTGGGAATGGAACCACAAACTATAAGCTGCCAACATTAAGGAAGCAAGGTTATTATGGTAATGGTAATTGTTTCCAATATCAAAGACCTTTGTTGTCATTTGTGTATTTGACAAATATAAACAATAAAATACAGTTTTTTTTAATTTAATGCGGATAAAACCGCAAGGAAACAGCTAGTGTAAAATAAACATAAAACAAAATGTGTAAGTTTGGTTAAGCCATGTATTGTCGTGTTTCATTTCAACATCAAAGAATGATTGGTCAAAAATATCGTGAAAAATTTGAGAAGAAGTACGCTATCGACATCACAACCGGAAATATGGGCGCTTTGAAATTTGCAGACTCAAATTTCATATTGATGTACAGTGACGATGTACATTGAAGATTAACACGTTTAAAACTTACGATCTCATCAAAAATGTACGTGACTTGATAATCAACCAATCCTCATTAATCCTTATGGAGTCTATTATCTGTCTTGGCTTTAAAGCCAACCGTCATCATTTATTACACCGTACTTTAAAGACAAGTTTGATGTCACAAGTGTCTTAACTGAACTAAAAGTAACTACTATATCCGATAGGGTGTCTGAATCTCTTAGTAGTGGATGTAGACACGAATACTATCTTTCATACCATTTTTTATGACTGAGTGGCCACAATTGCCTTGCAGAGGCATTTACAGATTCAGCGGGCTTGAGGTGACCGAGCGCAGATGGCGCTTAGCCTAAACCTTGTTTATGAGTAACTAAGCTCGAGGGTACCCTGAGAAGCCTGAGAGCCGTTACTTCATTATTATTACTGCACTGGAGTTTCAAATCACTCATTCACTTGGTTGAAATCATTCATTTTCGACCTTGACTGAAATCTGCACTCAAGCCTTCAGTTGTACACCAATGGAGAGTTAGTGTAGGTTTCCTGTACTCAGAGTGAAAGACGGGTGGTTTATTACAATTCGATCTTGTACTTACCCGGGTAAGATGGCAATAGTATTTTGGTCGATATGCAGCTCGTCAACAACTAGCGGATCTAATACTGGAATAGTGTCTGATCCAGTCACCATCAATTCTCTTAATTCTTCAATTAAGCTAAGTACCAATTGCTCCAATATACTGTTTCTTAAATTTTCCTCTGAAATACATTGGATGAATAATTATTAATGGAAACATTTTTATAGTATAGTTCGCTTTGTTGTAATATTACCTAACAATTGCAACGTCGTTCACATGGTATTAAAATTAAAATAAAAGTAATTAGGCTGTGCTGTAGCTGTTCTTCCAGATTATCCTTTACGTCTATGCCAAATTTCATCAAGATCCATTCAGCAGTTTAGGCTACAATGTCTAACAAACATCCGTCCATCTATCCAATCGCATTTACAACATTAAAAGTAGTATTAAGAAGATATGCGCACAACACTAGATCATTGGCATGCATGTCCCGTCACTATGACATCTGTCAATGTCATTCAGACATATTAGAATGTCGCGCCATTTTGACAAGAGTTAGTGGTGTATGTGTTGAAGTTAATTACTTTATAACAATTTATATTAAAATGTAGGTAGTAGGTATTATTTCAGTTTTTTTTTATAAGAGAAGGGCGCAAACGAGCGGTGGGAACACACGGGAATCACAGATAAAAGTAGTTATACAGATAATGTAAAAGTTTACCTGTTAAAAATATTTTTTCCCTGATATTATCCACTTCTACGGGCGAACCCCCAACCATGGCTAATGCAGCCGCTATCAAAATTGCCAAATAACGCATTTTTGTATCTGCAATAAATATAAATTTAAAAATCTAGCTTCATTAACTTGTTATACAGTCAGAGAAAAACAAATAATTCCGCTGAGCCAGCTCGACTTAGGTTGTGGAAGTCTTGCATTTTGTACCAATACCACGCCTTAATGGGACACGAAACATCGTACAAAAGAAATATAGGATAATATTTAAAAAATCACATTATATCATAATTAATAAATTATCTTACCCTTTGTTCAAGTATACTGTTATAAATCAACAATAAACCAATTTGGACAAACACGATATCGTGAAGCTACTTTTATCTTTTTATCAAATTTAATTTTGATATCATTAAATTATCATAATCCATACATTGATTTTGGGATTTAATCGGGGATTTTATAAATTAGTCACGTGATATGATAACGATACATTCGTTATGCATAACGAAATGTGATTACAAATTATGTTTTATCAGCTTTCGCCCGCGTCTCTGTCCGCGTGGAATTAAATAAAAACACAAAAGTTTTCTTATGTGTCCAGACTATCATCTATATTTATACCTAATTGAAACAAAATGCGATCAGCTTAGGCTACAATCTCCAACAAAGAACTATCCATGTGAACTTTCGCATTTATAATATACATACAAAAAATTCGGATGTCTGTTATAAAAAATGGAAATTCCAGATTTCGCGAAGGTTAGCGTTGCTGATAACGAAAATCGTGTTATTTACTAAAAGGTAGCTAATAGAATGTACATATATGTGGAATTGTTTTAGACGACATATAAAACATACTATGTGACGACATTGAAATACGCTGTGATTGCCAACATAACTAAGCAGTGCTTTCAATGCGAATTTGTGCACAAGCAATGTGGAACTAATTCAAAATGTATAAAGTAGATGGTGCTTGTAACTCTTTCTTTCTTTCTCTTTTTTAAAATCATAATTTACAATATAATTGTTTCCGTTCTTCTTCGTTGTATTAATTGCTGCAGTTCGTGTTTAATTGGAAAACAAATTGAACACTCTAAGTAGGTGATGCAGGGCAACATCGGGTGGACGTGGCATGATTAAGCGCGTTAACATTTATTTAGAGTCTGTCCCACCAAATTGTGAATTGTCTGTTAACAATCCAACGCGTAAAATATGTGATGGAAATATCAAATTTTGTTCCCTTATCTGACAGTGACGTCATTTTTAAACAATCTGAACTAGCAGCCAGTAGTGGGAAAGGCCCTTAGTCTTCAAAAGCATTTATAATCGTCAAAGACTAAAAAATACCTATCAGAATTTAAAAATTATAGGATCAAAGAATAATACATGTCACATCAGAACATACACATTCACTCTTGCTCATTTAAATAATTATTTATACCGAATAGAAGATAGTTTATAGTTTTTAGTACTAATCAAGTTAATTTTATCAAGGACATAGAACACAGCTACTATTTAAAGACTGGTGTTACTCGTCAATATAAGCAGCATAGAAAATTAAAACCAATTAAATTTAACTGTTTATTATTTATAAGTATTCCGTTTTCTGTTTATCCAATAAACGCTTATTTAAATACATACATTGATCTCACTAACTTACAGTTAAATCAGATTCTAAATCATTACATCGAAATAAATGATGATTTTATTAAAGGAACACAAACAGATATGAAAGTATGTTATTTAATTAGACAAATTATATTTTGATACATATTTATTTTTACAACACATCGATCTTACTTGCATTTAATCACATTTCAAAACAATTCAACTTGAAGTATTACAAATTAGTTATCCAAAACTCTTTCGACGATTATCCACGCGATGTACTCAAGAAGACCGTTGATGGCAACCTGGAAAAACACCATTTGTTACTTTAAAACCAAAAAGAAAACAATAAACTCTAGGACACTCAAGGGAATAATAAGAATAGAATAACACCTTACAATGTTGAATTACTGTGCTTATTGTTTTCTCATTTTATTCACCATGTTATTAAAATTGCTATTAACCATTAAATGCGTCATTTTTTTAAACCTTACTAAATCATATATAAGGCAAGATCGGTATTATAATAAAGGGAAAATCATGAAAAATGTAGAATCCAAATTTAGATTTTTTGGTTAAGGTCCCATCACTAGCTAATAGAGGCTCAGATAGCTAAAAAATGACGTCACTGTCAGATAAGGTAACAAAATCCGATATTTCCATCACATGTTTAATTTGGATTGTTATCAGACAATTTACAATTTGGTGGGACATGCCATTAATGTTGTATTTGTACAACAATGCGTATTTAAGTGTTAAAAACTATTATAATTTAGTAAATACAAACCGTGTTCTCTTTAACGAAGGCGGGAAGACCGTTGAAGAAGTTGTTGAAGGAGGCGGAGAGGTCGCGGCCGAAAATATTCACGTTCAAGTCAGACTGTAAATAAAATTTGTTACAAAGATTACCACTAGAAATACAAAAAAAAAGTATTGTTAGGTATTAAGCAACGGTAAAATGCCATTGACAGAACAGTAGGCAATGAACAAAGATACCTCGCTTTAGCATCATCCTTTCACAACCCAACCATATATTAAAATTTGTAAAAAAAATATTTACATGTCATTACAATGACACAAAGGCGTTCTAAATTTGACAATTGATATAGTACAAAGAAAGTACCGGTAAAAAAGTTTTGTTCACTTTGCTTTATCTATATATTTTTTAAATGTCTGTCTTCAGACTATCATAAGAATAAACTATTTTAAGGACGAATAAGCTTGAATTCAAACCAATATTAATGGTGAAGCAACCAAAAGATACGGCTGAAAGCTGAGTTAGCTCTAGTTTGTTGGTAATAACAACGGACTGATTTTTCTGGTCTATAACGTGGTACCCAAGAGCTAATACTTCTGTATTTAGGGCTCTCTAATGGCTAAATAATAGCTTTTATTATTGCTTCAAGACTACTAAATTCTAATCAATATTTCTCAACTTACCACAACATCATCAAGGTACAAGTCTAAGTCGATGCTGCGTACGGTGATGCCAGAGATGACACCGACTGATACCCTGACATCGGCTTTAATACCGAGGTTGACGATTTCCAAACTAAAACAAAAAGTATGCTTATATTACTGTTATTTTAAAATTAATAGCAATAAATCTCTTATTATTCATTCATTCATTTATTTAATCAATCGAAAGTGATAATGAAATTCTAATTTCTTACGTCCGATACAATATTAAACAGATTAATTTAATAAATCAGACTTAAAGAAACAATTATCTTACTTAGAGATCGAAATGAGCCCATTTGATACGCGTAATTAAAAATATGTAAGATTGTGAGTATCGCTTTTATTGGAATGTTTTAATTATGACGCAAACATTGTGATATGACACGGTCCAAGAATTGCACAAAGTTACCGAGTAGTTCAAGAACTCCGCGCAAAATGCACGGCCTCTGCCCCCGTAGTGTGGCTTATGACGAGTTAATAATAACGAATAATCTATCAAGACGAATATTACGCATAAACTAATTGCTTTAATCTTTATTTCTAACGAGCTGTTGCCCGCAAACTTCGTTAGCGCAAATTTGAACCACCCGTTACGCCATTTTGACAGTACGGATTTTTTTTTAAAAAAGTAACCTATAATATGCCTATCCATGTCAACTACTCTCCAGTGAAAGTCCCATCGAAATCGGCCCCGCCGTTTCGTAGATTAGCCGGAACAAACGCGGCTTGCTGACAGACCGACGGAGAGACAGACAACATTTTTAAATAATTTAATTTTCGTTATCAGTAACTTAAATACATCAACTCCCCGAAATCTGGATTTTTTGTTTTGATATTACACTCCAATTTTATTATATGTACATATAGATAGATAAATCTATTTTTTCTCATACCTTCCACTGCCTTGTCCAGCCCATTCACGGTCGAAGAAGTTCATTTCGAATGCGGATTCACCTAAAATTATAACAAGAACTGATTATTAGGAGAAACGTACCATTATAAGTTATTTTATTTTGTTAATAACAAATCCCATTGTCCTATGGCTACAAACATGTAGAATGACTGAAGAAAGTATGGATATATTGTGTGAAAGAGGATATGCTTATGAAGGAAGTGGATTCATATATGACGGCTGATAAAGATGTAACACCATACATACTGACCCGACCCGATAAAGATAGGTTGATGACGATAATGTTTTAGAATTCAAGGTATTCAGCAACTAGTCTCAATTTGCTGTACTGTAAATTACTTTTAGTTTATTTCTACTTCCTACTCTCCTATTGCCATCTATGTCGTATACAGATACAGAGCACTAGTGCTTCTGTTGATGTTTTTGATAACCTATTCCCTACAGAAATATAGCAAGGTAAAACTTACCAACGCTGCCCCTGAGGTTTGGCAGAGATACATCAATTGTCAGTCTCTGGGCGAGGATTGAGAAGTTGATGCTGTTAACTCTGATGTTGCTGAGGCCGTCTAGTGTCACATCCCTTGCGAAAGCATAGCCACTGACGATTCTGTTGATACAAAGTATTTAATAGATTAAAATAATTTTATATTACAGTAAGGTTCCATCTTAGATACCAGCCCCTTATACATAGTAACATTCCATTAGGGATATTTTTTTATAAGAGAAGGGGGCAACCGAGCGCCGGGAACACAGAGGTGGTCAACGACGCCCATGGACATTCGCAACACCAGAGGAACTACAGATACATTGCCGTCCTTTGAGAAAATTGTAGGCTCGCTTCTTGAAAGACCCTAAGTCGTATTGGTTTGGAAATACCGCCGAGGACACACTGTCCCACAACGTGGCTGTGCGGGGCAGGAAGTTCCGCGGATCGGATATCGATGATCGAAAACTCAAAAACTTATAAAACTAACAAAATCTTTGAATAAAATTCTACTAGCGATAGCGATCATTGAATGTCCCTTTGTCCAGGGAGTTACATAAAAAAATCCGTTTTATTATCTTTGCCAACACCGTGAAAATATATTTTTTTTGCACCGGTGCTATGACTGAATGAAGCTGTCACCTGGATACGCCCAAAATAGCAAAAGGAAAAATTAGTCATTAAGATTAGCTATTAAATGTTAAAGGTAAGTTTAACAAACAGAGGAAAGGAGCCAGAAATAAGGTTATTTCCCCCACCATTTACATTAGCACTATTAGGTGCGGTAAGATCGGAAAAATATCATGTCTTTTCAAAAATTGCACACTTACTCTGGTTCCGAAAGAGCGAAGGAACTCTCAGCGAACTCAAGCTTGTATGGGTCTAGACCACGGTCCCTGATGGCCTGTCTCAATCTTTCGATCAGACCTTGGATGGTGTCAGTGATCACTCTCTGCTGTCTGAGTTCTGTAATAGAATAAGCTCTCGTAAGGGAAAATCAAAACTCTAATTCTTAAGTAATGTTGCATGGATCGAATATAACGTTGCTAGCTTATTTAATTGTATGTGTATTAATGAGAACCATCTCAAGTCAGAAGGAGAACTTTAATTATGTCTTCACTTAGATATTGGAAGATAGATTAACTTGGAAGAAAGCTGGTGCGCCATCCTAGGGTAGTGAACGCGGCGAATTTACAATAAATTTCTTGTACTCTATCTTTACGGCTAGATATAATAATGTGTTATAGTCTCAAAAAGCAACAAAGGCTAAAAAGGTAGAGGAAGACCGAAGAAAGTATGGATGGATTGTGTAACAGAAGATATGCTTAAGAAGGAAGTAAATTCAGACATGACGGCTGATAGAGAAGTATGGAAGAAGCACATACTGTGCCGACCCTCAGTAGGAAGAAGGGCAAGTTGATAATGATGAATGTCAAGAGAATAATGTGTAAAGTAAATTCGCACAAGCAAAATATATTTTCTCGCTGACTTTCGATAGAAATGTAAAGAATTTCGGTTTTATCAAATTTTTTAAAGTTTCAAAAAATACGTTTTCAAATTTACCATCTTCGCTAAGTGTGGGCAGAGCGCTTGCGCCAGCCAAGAGCATCAAAACGGCGAATGCGTAAGTCTTCATGGTGTTGCGATCCTGAGAATTAAAAAAAAATAATTAGAATTGTACAACTTAACATATACTCATTTAAACATTTTAATAAATACAAGGACTATTAAACTTTTAATTAAAATATTTTTACACTTTTAATTTTAGTTACTTATATTATTATAATTTACTCATGACATAACAAAATTTATTGTTATGATTAACTAGCTGTTGCTCACGACTTCAGTCGCGTCAAATTAAATATAATGCAAAATATAAGCTACTCACAAATTAATTTTTAATGGCAAAAGATTTTTTTTAAATCGGCTCAGTAGTTTTTACGTGAATCAAATATACACAAAAATACAAATCTTTTCTCTTTATTATATGTGAAGTGAATCAAAACTGAAGTAGAATTCCCATAAATGTTAAACTGGTTAATATTTTGTGTAATTTACTTTGTTGATAATTTTTTGATCACAACGTCCTCACTCACCTTTTCTCTAGTTGCAAGTAGAGTGGGCAATGCGTTATCAACTTTTTATATTCTATCGGAAATCTTTGATTATATCTGAAACATAATTAATCACACGGCGATTTTATTGTTATCTTCATAATCCTTTCCGATCGGTGTACTCTATTGACGTTACAAAATATTCAGGTGTTATTCCTTTGTAGAAATAACGAAATACATGTCTTTGGATTTCTTCGTCGATATGTTCAGGCATCACGATGATCTCCTCCATAAGAACGTCGGGTAAATTATGTATACAAAAATTAGAAAATCGAATATTAAATTGATACATGGCGGCATTCGAACGCAAGACCTTATTACAAGTCAAGTGAGACACAGACGCCCATATAATGGAATAATCTTAATAACTATAGCAGCGCATCAACCGAAAATAGGTTTATCCCACGATAAGAATCTTCTTCGAACCAGCACCGCCTCCTCATCCACGACTATGAGCTCCCACAGTTATGGAAGACTAGCATTTGCGACCTTGCCGCGTAGATTTAAAAAACAAAAGTAAGTAGCCATTATTCCAGATTATGTTCCACATCTATGTCATATTTCATCCAGATTTGTTCAGCCGTCTAGGTATGTTACAAACATCCATCCATCTAACCTTTCGCATTTATAATATTAGTACGAGCATGATTAGTTGTCTCTACATTTATTACACTTATATAAACAGCATTATATGAACAGAATATATCACAATAATCTTCGTAACGTTAAAACAGTACAAAATTGTTCGGTTGAGGTGAAATTGTATCTTTTTGAAATATTTGAAGCGATAATTTAGTAATTACAACGATAAATCTAAATGCATAGATACGCAAGAAATTTTATTAATTCAGGTTATGAAAGATAATTCTGATGTCGTTGACTTTTTACAAAAAATCAGCAAACATTTGCTCGACGTAACAATTCCCAGTTAAAATATGGTTTTTACATTTTTATTTTTTGCTAGTGCAGTTATCTATACACTAAATCTGTTCTTCTGTAGATAATAAGGCTAAAATTAATCTTATTTACATTACGGAATTACATATAGGAAGATGGACTTAGGTAGTTTAAATCCCTGTAATTACAGAATTTCCGGTATTTACAAAAGGACATATTTTAAAGGCATAACGAAGGTTAAATAACATAATCATTGATAGCTGTATTATGATTTTTATTGTTATTTGTTGTTTTAGTTAACTATAAACAATGTCGTTTTAACTTATCGCAGATATCATCGAATTAGTTTTATCAATTACTAACTGTTGCTTGCGACTTCATCCACGTGAAATTTGATTTATAAAAATATAGCCTATATTACTCACTGATAACGCAGCTTTTTAATGGTGAAGGAATTTTTTAAATCGGTCCAGTAGTTTGGAAGTTATATCAATACATACAAAAATACAAATCTTTCCTCTTTATAACATTATAAGATTAGATTTGAATACGTTTATAATGATAAAAACGCAATCAAAATGGTACATCTTGTACCATATTGACGGCTTATATCGCATTACCTGTACAAAAAATGTAGTTAGTTTTGTTTAGTTAAACATGTGTTTAATAAACGATAGGAAGTATTAGATAATTTAATCAAAATTATTTACGGTATTTGTAATCTAATAATCTTTGTTACATTACATTTTTTATTGTACGTATATTTTTAGAGCGCCTACCGGAGTACCTTCCACTTCATGCCTGTCTTCTGTGTGTGGTGATATTGCACCGGGCGAACCGACATTCGTGCGTAGATGTTGAAGCAGGCTCTACCACTGTTAAAAGTATTTATGTAAGATTTATTTCATTTTGCAGATTTACAGTGTTTTGCGAGCAGAGTTAGAACAGAATGTAAGCTATATTTTTTTTTAGTTCTTTACAATCTTACTAATATTATAAATGCGTACGTAATGCTTAGTTTACTCACTTTTGTTTTTTTTTTAATCCCACGCGGACGGAGTCGTGGGTGAAAGCTAGTTAGAAAATGAATCCCTGCATGTCTTTTTGTTAACCAAATAAATTATTGTATTGTTACTAAACAAAACATATTGCCTAATATCTAAAGAAAAAAAAAGAGACTACCTTCCCTCATCAGACTTCCAGATAAGACTGTGTTATATGAAATTAGACATGTTTATATCAGGAAATCTAATAATCTAACTACTAATGTATCTCTACCTAAAAAGGTAATTATTGAATAACGAATCGTAAGAGCGTTTGCACACCTTTGACGAAACTATCGCACAACTGTCGTGCGATTGTAAATAGTCGATTTTTTCGCAGCCCATTCAACTGTTTAGTTGCCCAACTAAAAATCCAAATAGTGTGCGAAATTCCATATAAACATTATAGGAATCAAAACGAGACTAAACAGTCGTGCTATAGTTTATTCAAAGGTGTGCGTAAGATCTAAACATAATATATCGAGATTTCAATATTTCACAAAATAAAAAGCAAAACATGTGTTATTGGAATTATTTTATTTTTGAAATTTTACATCATAAGAAAATTGCTGTTGGATTTGAAACATGTTTTTAAATTATTTATAAATTATAATACAGCTATTGACTGAAGTATAAATTTATAATTAGTTCAAAAAGTGATTAAGCAGGATTGCGATGATCTGATCGAGGCCGCGCTTGATGAGATCCTGAAAATAAAAAAAATGGTAAATTCGATCATCTTTACGATGTTCTCGGATTCGTGTCATATCTGGAGGTGAGAATGAGATGGAGAACTGGAGATTGCTACAACGACTAGAGTAAATATTTTCCTGTGTTATAAACTAAGCAGTTGACAAAATCCACATTAAAGCAGCCAAGTATTGGACCTCCATTACTATTAGCAGTATTACAGGACAATAGCGTGAAGATAGTCGTTATCGTCCATTTAGTTACATTTTTTCAAAAATACAGGAATTGTATTATGTCAGATAATAATTTATTTCTATTCTAAAAACAGTGGACCTAGTACTTTATGTGAGAAAGTATTTGTAATATTTTTAAAATTACATGAGACAAGCTTTCGCCCCCGATTCCGTTCCCGTGAATTTAACAAAACAAAAGTAAATAGAATACATGTTTTTTTCAGACTATCCTGTATATTTATACGAAACTTTTGAGATCCGATGAGCAGTTTAGGCTACAGACTGTAACAAACATCCACTTTTTCATCAGTAAGACTTGTGCATCTGACAAAAACTATACCAACAAATCTGTCTTCATTTTCTATGATATCAACATGAATCTATTCTTGTAAATTTTCGTGCGAGGCCACCAGAATACTTACTTGGTAGAGGGCGAGGTTCGCAGGAAGGCTGTTCAGCCAGTTATTGACAGGGGCGGAGAGGTCCAAGCCGAAGATTCTGATAGCGAGTGCAGACTGGAAAAAAAATGAACAAGATACAAGGACTCGTATTAAAACCAAGAGACATTTGCGCTATAGGTAATCAAAATCAAATTATATTGAAGCTTTTAAATATTTATGTACTTTTGAGGTTATTAAAAATATTTTTTTTAGCTGAAAAGTAAAGGTATGCCATCCTCATCCTCATCAGACAGCCTCATACAACAATAATACAACAAAGTAAGGAAATCTTATTGTACAAGAGTTTAATTTGGACGTATTCCTGACCTGGATGCTGCCCAAACGAGGTTCGACGTCAACTTCGGTAACCGAAACTCCGGCACCCACTACTACTTTTGCGGTGCCGCTTACTCTTAGTCCATTGACTTGCAACCTAGAAAATAGATGGTGTTATATAAAAAAACATTTCCAATTAACGTTTTTATACTCTTACTAGCTTACGCACGCGACTCCGTCCGAGTGGAATTAAAAAAAAGTAAGTATCCTATGTTTTGAATGCTAACATCTTTGGCAAATTTTATCTAGATCCATATAGTAGTTTAGACTACAAACTCCAACAAACATCCATCTATGAAAACTTTCGCATTAATAACATAATTAAGATAATACTTACAATCCGCTTAAGCTTCCAGAGATTTCACGGCCAAGAACAATAAGTTCGAATGAAGAACCACCTGAAAGGATATAATATAAAATTTTTGTACCAAAACATTTTTTGAAACAAGACAAGACGTAAAGTACTAACCAACAACCGCTGAGACGCTCGGTAGAGAGATGTCAATGTCCACAATATTGTTGAACGGAGAGTAGCTGATTCTGTTGATCCGGATATCACTTTGACCGGAGACTCTTAGATTCTCGACGCGACCTTTCGCACTGAATACACTGAAATTAGTAATAGACATTAAGTAAAAACAACGTAGAACAACTTTCTACTCAACAATTCCCAACATTCACCAATTCATAGCCTTCTTCTTTAAAAATAGGAGACGGAAATAATATATAGTAGTTTATGTCACCTCAGAATTTCTTTCTTATTGCATGCTTTTTTTATATATCATACAATGTAAAACTAGAGCAATCCTATTCCTTTCAAGTCTAAGGAAGAACAAGATAATGGAGTCGTAGAGTTCGCAGCAGCTTTAGCTGATGAACGAATGAAGTGAATGGTCGTTTCGACCAGATACCAATACCACAACCACACTAAGGACTTGAGTGCAGTGGAATGACTTTCAAATTTCAGCGGACGAGTGTATTGTCAATTTAAGTACTCTTCCCCTTCCTCCCTTTTCTAATATGATCCATACATGCATAATAATATTTACACACTTTTAACAGGTAGTATCAGCAGCTGCAAGGCAGTTACTTTGCCTTTTAATCGATTAAAGGCCAAAGGCTATAAACATTTCTAGGGCGAAACTGAATTTTATCAAATCAACTGTTCGGGATTCGTACACTTAGCCTATCACTTACGTGGGGAGAAATAAAACGTATTCTCCCTCAGCGCGCTCGATGTTGACAGGATCCGTGATTCTTGCCGAGAATCTCTCGATGGCATCAACGATAATCTGAGCAATATCCCTCCTCTCTGCTCCGAAATCTAAATTAATTAACAAAATAATAAGTGACAAAAAAACTGACGCAAATTTCAACCAAGTAAACTTCACAATGGATTAAAATTTTATGTTAACTTCAAGGCCTGTATTACTTTTAAGTATATTGATTTTACTTTTGAAAATGTTGGTTAGCACACTAAATAATAGTAGTAATTTTCGAGATACAAAATTCTATGTTGTGGTTTCATACCACATACCATAAACTGTGTAAACAACAACTTGTATCCTGTCGAATACAATCTTTAAAATTTACTTGTTTATGCAAAAAAAAAACATTTTGTGGAGAATAATAAAATAATAAGTATATTATTTACAAGTAATTAACTAAATATGTCATTTACCAGATACAGAGATTTGGGGCAGGGCGGCGGCGCACGCCACAAGCATCAACAGTCCGAATGCGAATGATTTCATTTTGGTTACAACTGAAACAAGTTAAGTTATATATGTACAATAGGTTTCAACTACTAAAACAAATGGACAATAACACAAGAACAGAATTTGAATAACATCAAAAGCTTTTAAATTAGAATTATCTCCCCGACGTGAGGCACAAGGCAATTAAGTTAGGCGTAAGTTGTGGGAACAAGGAAACTATTACAATATAAATTACACTTCTGCACCTTACCTTCTTATGTGTAAAAGTTGAGATAATGCACAAATCAACGTGTATTTATACTGCTGACAAAATAATCTATATCGGACTACGTCAAGAACTTTTTAATAAATTATCAATTAATAATTTCTTATATCTTTCAATCGAATTCGCCAAGTTTAATTCACTTTTATTAATGTGATTATGCTTTTTTTTACGATACAAAAAACCCGCTTTCTTGGAAATGTTCTAATATATTCACTGGAACTAAAAATTACTGTTATTCTAATCTTACTAATATTAACTACCTTTAGCCGGCGACTCTGCATGCAATTAAAAAAGAAATAAGTATCCTTAATATCTATAACAAATTTCATCGAGATCTGTTAAGTAGGTTAGGCTACAAACTCTAACAAACATCCAAGTTTTCGCATTTATAACATTAGAAAGATGCGAAAGTCTGGAATTTACTATTAGCTAGTTAGTTAGAAAATTTCTACTTAAGTTTTTCTACATGAATAAGTAAGATTCCTGAGGCAGTTTTTACTAACTACTTAATATCAACTATTAAATCGCGCTTCGAGTCCTACGAACCTATTCCTGTAAGGCACACTACTCGATTTTTAGTTATGCAACTAAAAATTTGAATGAGCTGCGTAACAATCGACAATCGCAGAACAGTTGTGCAATAGTTTAGTCAGAAGGGAGCGTCCGCTCTTATAACACCTCTTTGTCCCCACTTTAATGAGTAGCAACCCTAACTCATGCCAGAGAAAGATTATAGACAACTCCACCTTAGGGCCATACCGCTTTCGCCACTTTAGGGTCATACGTTTTTGACCGACTTCCCAAAAAAAAGAGGAGTTATGAATTTACCTTGACTAATACCGACATCAAAGTAATAACAATTTTAAAATATATACATAATAAAATTATTTAAACTTTCGTGAGACATTTTATAATTAATTATTTACGGCTTACTCACGTATACTTTTCTTTTTCTAGTGACGGCATCGACCAGTTTCAGACCCTGCGGGGGTCCTTCTTCAGGACGAGGGTTAAGTCTGTCGCCGCCTCGCGAGGCGCGACGCGAACGCGATACACCGGAAAAAGAAAAGTATACGTGAGTAAGCTGTAAATAATTAATTATATACATAATAACTACAATAAGAGAAGTTTAAGTGATTAAAGGAATTGTTTCGTCACTTTTTAGTGTATTTTTATCGATTGGTATTCTATAGATATTTTCAGGATAAATTGTTTTGAATAAAAAAAAATGGCTCAGATCAATTAAAATAAAAAATAAAGTAATTAAGCAAGAAATGGTAAAAACGTAATTAAAGGACAATCCAAACATTTAAAATGAGTATTGCAATGTTGATCGGATTAGGTCCTCGCTTAGCTATAATTGCTGGATGCTTCTAATTGAAGTATCCAGCGCTTATCTTCCGCGATATTAAACATAGCCATGCGAGGATAGCGTTAGGCAACCCTATAAGGGGGTGTTATTTATCATATATAATTATGTTAAAGATTATAAATGAAAAACAAGCATAATGTACTTTCAAGGCCACCCCACGCATGGATTATGTCCAACAATCAAAGCTTAGTTATTACATCGATATCTTATCATTATTATCCCCGCTCTATAATCCATACAAATTATATTTATAAAAATCAGTTTTACTGAAAATTGATAAAATTCTTTGTTACCATGTTGGTTTTTTTTACAATAAGAAGGCAAAGCAAGCAGCCACCTGAATCCCCCAGAATGGCGGAGCGACCGCTGCCCGTAGATATATTTGCAATGTATTACGCAATTTCAGGTGCGTTCTTCTTCTTCTTAAGGTGTCTCTCCGACTAGCGAAGGTTGACGGTCGGTTCTCCAAATTTGACTTTATCAGATGCGTTACCTACCCTAAATCGAGAAGAAGGTGGACATAAAAAAGATGTTTCCCCTTCCCATGCGTCTCCTCCACCGTCAAATCCCATTTCTCATCCAATCATTTCCTTATAAGAAAAGGTTGTAACGGGAAAGGCACTAAGATTGGAATTATGGCATCACACTCATCAGACAAAACGCGGAATTGATTCCACTTCAAGCCTGTCTTCTGTATGGTCGTGGTATTGCATCGGGCGAGCCGACCCATTCGTGCGAAGATGTTAAAGCGGGGTCTACCACTGTTAGTTAGGTTAAGTTAATATATTTTCTGGTGCATATGGATATAAAGAAGTAAAAGCCTTCTATCTAAACTTTCACATTTATAACATTAGTATGAGTAAACGGTAGGTACAGACGTTGGTATCTTAAATATAGTCGTATAACAGTTATTTAATACAGCGATTTCGTTTGTATATTTTATAAAGAAAAGAAATATAAACGTATTTTATTTGTATTGAAGAATAAATAAAACAAAAAATTTAAATGTA